TTATTGTTTTATGAAGTTGAAATTTTCTGCTATATAGGTATAAAATAATTCTTTCGATAGATATTTACTCGTATTTCTAACGATAAGACCGTAGATTCTCCAGATAATTCAAAATTGGATTTTCCATTAACAAAAATTTGTATCCTTGGTGCTTAAAGTATTGCAAGAAATAATTAAAATATTCGAATTGCGGAAGCTTTAAAATTTTTATTGAATTTAATAATTTTTAAATGTTTTTAAAGTTGAATTTATGAAACTTAGAATTTGTATAAAAGAATGTATCGAACGTTTATCATTACTCCTAGTAATGACATTTCTATTTTTAACATAATGGATGATATAGAATATGGCGAACGAAACGTAAACGTGGAAGTAACATTTTTCGATCGCATAAATCATCAAAAATGTATTTCCGACACGGCTGGTTTCTTAAAATAGCAACACTACACAATTTCCCTATTTCGGCATAATTTATCATCGTCAGAAATGCATTCGTGATGCAACATCCTTAGCATAATCCGTCTGACAATAAATCATCTCTATACGCTTCTTATTCCTCGGATAAATGGACTTTCTAGTATGAAGAAAGTAGAAAGCCAAAGGATTATGTTGAACCTTTCAGAACGTAGTATCGAAGAAATATTAGCTGCGTTTATTTGACGGTTCTATTGTTTCATCAATGATAATATCAAACCCATTGTTCTTTCACTTCAAATAAATGAATTTCGTATTTTATATATAACAAATTAATAATAGATAATAATATTTGTCGGTGAAACAGAAGTAAAAATAGATAACTTGTTAGGAATTTTCCAGATGCAAAAAATAACATTTCTAATATTTTCTAATTAGTGATCAGATCTCTAATAGATTTATGATATAAAATTCTTCTTGAATTTGTAATTTTTATTCCTTGTAAATTTTAAATATTCAATTATAAAATTAGGGGATTAATTAAGCACTGAAAGAAAATTGAACCTATAATTATAATTTATCCCACCATCTATTAATTTAATGATCTATTCAAATTCGAAGAAATTTAAATTATATCCAAATTATATTGAAATTCTTTCACTGTTCCTTCCACAAGAAATAGGGAATTTCATTTCAAAGGATACGTAGTGTTTACTAACGAAATTTAAAGTACTTAAACGGTCGTAAAACGGCGGTGCAATAAACAGACGCATAAAAGATTTTACTATTTACCATGAAAACCGACAGAAATTTCACTGGCACCCAATAAAGGGTAACGCGAAAGGGGTTAAATATCGGTAATTTCACGGATCGATAGGGCAAAGTTCAAGAACCTGATGGTTTCGCACTCGTAGGCTTTAATAGGTATTTCATCAAAGGGTATCGGTGTGTTTGGATCCGTTTAAAAATTCCATTCGTCAGCGGGAAATGTTTTGTGCGTTATTCCATTTAGTTCGTAGTCAGCGGTTTCGACAAATTGGCTTTTTTGAATCTCTACTTTCCTTTAAAATTGTCATCCAATATGTAACTGCAAATTTCCGTTCCCATACTCGATTGTATTCCATTAATTCTGGGATAGAATTGCTCAAAATACAGACAATTTCAGTTTCATGACGAATTTTATGTTCCACTTTCGAAGGATTAATAATTGCTTTGAATCATTTAACTGTTGCATATCGAATAATTTTTGATCATAGGATTTTCACATTTCACGTTTAAATTTTTAAATATGCTAAATACTGCTTGTTAGATGAAATATGAATCATGCAGATATATATTTCTATTTGAAAGTTAGACGTAATCACAGTTGGTTACGAGTACTTCTTGTTTTCTAGCACCACCTAGTGTCTCTAATTTTGCATGTTTGATCGCGCTTTATTATAGTCTACTTTTGTATGCATCTGCTGAGGTGTTGACGGGTGAGAAATGGTTTGTCGACAAAATGAATGTCAGTGCGACATGATAATTAAATTCTGTACGACCGACGTAGAAAGCGTCGACAAAATGAAGCGCCACTAGGAAATATTTCAAATAGAAAATTCAGCACGTGTGCACGCTTTTGCGTTAATATTTAATTTGTATGAAATGCCAGTTAAATTTTCTACCATAGGCACATATTTCATAATATTTTATTTCATAATATACAATAAAATAGTGCGCAGTTTTGCCGTTGAACATAATCATTCTTCAAAAATATTCGTGTCTAATGATAAATTCTTTTTCAGGGGTAGTCATTATTATTTCTCTTTGTTCGAGTCATGAATAGTAAAGATAGAAGAGTTTATTGTTACATTCAGAATTTGAATTTTTGTTTTGACTCACTGTTTTGTGTTTTGAGAGCAGTTTTGTACGCTTTGTTAGCTGACCTATTTCTGTTTCCGACGAAAGGGTAATTAGGGGCAATTTGATTTAGTTTCACTTCTTTGAACCACCTATACGGAAGCGTCTCTCTAAAGTGGATTATAAACTCCAGTAAACTTATAAACTTCTCTGAAATTGTATAAAATAAAATTAGGTTGTTCTCGTTGCTCACTTCGTTTCTCTACATTCTGCTATTTCTTAAAAGGATTACAAGGTGTTAATATTCGATTCATAAGTTAACCTTTGAACAGCAGAGCCTGGATCGTTTGTTACTGAACATATACAAGGATATTAGTCTAAAGTTAGGTTAGAAGAATAATTTTTTAGGGAACAGTGTAAAATTTAGAAAATGAAAATGATATGAAATACAAAATTAAATTATAATTGGGGCTCTCTCCATGGTCCGCTGTCCGAGGATTAATATTTTTTATTTCTGTATTAAATCGTTCACGTTTCAATTAATATGCCATGAAAAAAATTATGATATATAAAAATATACAGACATTTTATCAGAAGAATTTGTTAAAATATTGCAACGAAAAAAGGACTTTGCGCGAATAAAAACAATGAAATACGCGAGAAAAGGATATAATATCTTCTATTATATATTTCATTTTCCATATTGGTCCCTTCTGGCTTCGGTAAAGTACACTTTAATCCTGCAAAATCTATGGTCAACTCATTTTTTTTTTCCTTTTTTTACTACGGATTGGACGGCCAGTGCATTGTGGTTATTAAAATGTCTCGTATATATGGTGTTCATATTTCATCTGTTCGTTTCGTTTCCTCGATTTTTATTATTTTTGAAACGTATCCCGGAAATACATTGCTTTTTAATGCCCAATTATTTAATAAACGAGTTCCTCGAGAAACGAATTATTTCTGGTTTTGGCACTTTGTAATGTTCTCCATTTTATTATAGGAAAAATGAGGAATTCATTAAAATAATATTTATACAACGATCAAAAGGAAAATTTCAATTGTAATATAAATATGGGATAAAGGGGTAGCAATATCCAGCAATTATGGTACCTATTAGTCTAAGCAATTGTAGTTATAATTGCATTGCTAATTGTATCATTATAGTTTCCAGCGTGTCTCTTTCTCCTTATGATACGTTAGATATGAGAAATTAATAGTGAAGTTTAATTGAAACACGAAAGCTCTAATTACCTATGCATTCAATCTCAGATATTTAAACAATCGGCCTAGAAGATCTTACTCGACGTTTTTGTATTATTTTAATTGAATTAAAATAAATATTAAAATAAAAAGTAGACAGAAAAGCCAAAAGAACATTTTATAGTAGTTAATATTTTTGAAAATATCATTCATTTAAGAATTAATTTTCTTGCGCGTTCAATATTATATTTTTGCAAACATCATTAGGTCATATATGTCCTGTGTATCTTTGATTTGTCAAAATGAAGAGGACTGTCGTTAGTCGTCAGTGTACATATTCAACAAACAGTGAGGCACGTGTCAAAGCGTTGGTAACTAGGGATCGTAAGCGGCTCGTTCGTGCGGCCATTAATTACACCGCCTAATTCCGCGAATTGGTCATTAAGGATCAGCTGTTCCGCACTTAATGTCAAGCTAACCGCGCAGTTCACTCGGCCCCTGATCCAACGATAGTCAGTACCTCTCCTTCGCAGGACACTGTAATTGGTTTGTTGAAGCTTAACTAACTACCGGATAAAGTCGAACGAACCCGGCTGCCGTTTAAGCACGGATTATCCAGAACGAGACGAAGAATATTTACTGCTAATTGCTCGGCTTTTGGCTTACGATTTATTTCTCTGATATGAAAATCTGGTGAACACGTGGTTTGCTTCTGGAACTCTTTGATTTCTTTTTTAATAGTACTTTCATACATATTCATGGTTCCGAGAAATAGAAAGGCTGCAATTAAATTATTCATTATATTAAATGCAGTAAAGTAGAATTTTGCAATAATAAATTATTTAACACGATAAATTTCTACAACGAGACACGGCTTAAATTGCTCCAAGCTATTTTGTTCATCAGCTTATCTGCAGCGCATTTTCAGATTTCAGTCTGTCTTAGAAAGTGTACATAATTCGCGGGTCGTACGAAAGATTTAATCTTCCAAATGAGATCCAAATGCAGGTGCAGCCACGGCGATGCATTAAATGAGAATATCTTTCGAGCTCGGGCACACCTTTTGCCAAGAAAAAATTAGCCCGACCCGACGTGGCTGCACAGAGAAAACGAAACTACTGCTGATCTAGCAATTAACTCACCTGGCGGTTCGCCAACTATTTATATCGCGCTATTATCATACATTTCGTTCCGAAGCTAGGCACAAACAACCATCGTTATCTTTATGTTTTAGATTCTACTCGAATGAAAATACTTGAACTTAGACCTTGTTTAGTAGTGACTATAAATTTATTTTGTAGAAGATAAATGATCTCATTATTGGGAATATAAAAATAGTTTTGCTTTACTGATATTGATTATTGAGAATATTAGACCCTCTATTCTTCTAAGTAAATCAAATTGCAAGAAAATTATTATTATTTTATTTTTTAATTATCTATGGAATAATTAATTTTACATTCGTGTCATTTAAAAATATTTTGTTGCAAAGAATTACTACATAAACTGTATGAAATATTTAATTTTATTTAGAACAGAAGATTTTAAACATATTTGTTATAGAACTAGAACAATTCATTCTTCTTGAATAGAATTATTGCAACAGGTAAATAGAAACATATTCGAAATTCTTTTGTCGTCATTGAGGATTTCCTGCAATGCATCTGAAAAAGTTTTTATAGTAGCATGTAATTATAATTTTACACTGGAGTTGACTTTGTAGTGTACAAAGTGAAATAAGGATATCCTTTAAGTTCACAAACCTGACATTATGTAAAACAGTATTATCCGTCGTTTGATTCTCGTATCCTTGAAAGGAGTCGTTTGGTGGCCTCCTGAATAGTTGAGGGTCCATAACGAGCCTGACATTCACGGTACTTTTCCACCACCTGTACCAAGGCGACACCTGGTCCTGAGCAAAAGAAAAATGATTTCAGAGCCGGAAAAATAGAGAAAAATCTGCACGGTGTAAATTATCTAGGTCGTTTCAGTTGTCAGGATCAAAAGACACTCTTCTCAATAAATTAGTCTCGAATGACCTGATCGCGAGGGATGAAACTGATTCCAGACTGTCACGTATACGTGATAATTCTCAATTAAATGTGCACTGGCCGGATTCCGATTCGATAGAAATTGAATTTATAGGAGTAGGAACAAGATTTCACTTGAAATTCTTCTGTCGTTTCCATTGAAATACTCACTGGCAAACGCATTTCTTTTTCCTTTTTAGAATGGATTTGATTCATCTCTGATCTATTACTTTGATTTTATTTCCATCTTATAATTTGTTTGTACATAAAACATTTTGAATTTAATATGTTATAATTGAACAATTAAATAAAAAGATATAAAAACTTTGAAAATTTTAATTTAGGTATTATTTCATCTAAAAAATAGGTGTTCTTAGTTAGACAAATTTTTAATTGAATACTGATAGTAAAAGAGTGAGTTCAATTAGTCGAAAATAGAAATTTAGTTTTCTTGAACAGAAGATCTATTAAAACCAAGTTTTTTAAATCTTGGAACATAAGTTTTTTTTAAGATGTTCTATCGTTTGTCAAACGTTGATCCTCAGTCGGTATCAGGAAATATTGGACGTAAGCCATGTAATGTCAAGTATAAAGCGATAGCGGAAATTCCGCCGCCTGTTTGCTGTATTTTTACAGCCTCCATCAACCGCAGGCAGCTTCAAAAGGATGAAAGGAACTCCTAGTGATTCCTAGTGCAAGCAACCTCCGCCTTTTTTGCAATATCTTGCTGCCCCTTTTTCAGTTCAGCTTTCCATTTCTTTTTTGTCTTTTCATATTCCCCCGTTACCTTGCCCACGTGTCTAACACAGCCAATTTTAGGAGAATTTTTCCGTGAAAACTTGAGAACATTGGCGATTCTGTATTTAAGAAACATAGGTGAAATTTCATGTAGGTACATTTTTCTGCAGTAAAATCATTTCTGAAATTAATACGTGAATTATGTATTTTAAATTTTTATTTATTATATTTAACTTAAATTCACTTGAGTTGTGTGTAAACTTCCTTAAGAGTTGCCATATAATTTTTTAAAAATAATTCTAGATTTTCTTTATTTTATCGTGTTTGTTCAGTATATTGTTTCTATTGTATTTTCATAGTTTTATGAAAATAAATTGTTCTTTGAAAACGAGCTGAGATGAAAGTTCTAAAAGCTGATTGACGTTAGTACAAAACAGTATAAAAGGAAGTTGTCGTCCCTCTATTAAGCACCCTTCAGATATTCTTTCTACAATGTTCAATTTCTTGTTAAATTTCATGACAGAAATGTAGCGTAAACATTCTTCATTTTCTGTACGATGTATCTTTCGTAATTAAAATCTTTTCATCTTTTTACGTTTTATATATTTATAATAGATAAACGTTCAATTCAAAGAGTTACCTTTATTTGAAATGCAGTGGTACTGGGGGCCAATATTGGGTCAACTTTGACTCACAAATGAATTTCGATATAAATCGAGTTGAGCTTTTCAATATAAAGTCAAATTTTGACAGTACCTAATCTTTAATTTAAACTTTTCTCTCTAAATTGTCGATCTTAACGTGTTCTAAAAATATTTTCCTGTCTTTTTATCACTTAAAATTTGGACACTACGGAAGTACAAATAAGCTCAGAAAATGAAGCATTATAATACCGAAGATTTTCCATTGCTAACTCCTGACCACGTTTAGAATGCTCGCACAGTTCTCCCATGATGATAGCCCACATTCGTGTTTATTTTCTGCTTAATTATCTTCTCGTCTTTCGTTGTATCAGAAGACCACAAACCCTTCCTCCGTTTCAGTGAAAAGCAGGCAAACGTTAAACCGCTATGCACGCTGCGTTTCTTTCCATCAAACTCAACTTCCTTCCATAGAATTTTAATAAGTTACCACTTCGCCAAGGATATTCGCTGTTAATTTATATTCCAAGGTAACAAGCTTGCGCGGAAGTTGGTGGAAAAATAAGCCATAAGAAAGACGCTTCCGTCGAAGAACTTTATTAACCTTCATCCTTCTTGGTTACCCGGAGAATTCCAAGGGATCCAGAAGTATTTGAACGGTGTGCCGTTCCACCGGCATCTGTCGTTGGCGTTATTTCTTTAACCGGAAGGAAGGTGTCGTGTCGCGTTTGTTCCGGCTCAGTTGGCCAACTGTCAGTTCACCTGTTTCACCTTTGCGGCCGTGGCTCAAATGCATCCGCTTCGGGTCGCTCCGTTATCTGGGTCGTTTGAATCGTGTCGCATAAACATAAACCGTGAGAAATAGGAGGGAAGAGGCTGGAAAAGGTTACCGACCTAGACCTGCCTCCGAGCTTAGTTCCAGATGCAACGCGAAATTCCTCGTGTTTTTACCCTCGAACGAAACGCTCGATAACATTTTCCACTGCGGAGGAACAACCGACGCGAATGAAACCGTACGTTTAAACCCTCCTGGGAATGCTAGCTAACTCGTTGAGGAAAGGAATTCGGCGAGGTCTTTGTTTTCCAAGGGTGGTTTGTTTCGTGGTAATTGCATCGGGAAGAAAAGGAGGCAATGTAGCTGTTAATCTTATGATGTGTTAGATAGTACCATAAATTCCGATGCTCTTTACATTCAATTAGAGTTACATGTTCATATAACATCTGGATCTTGTGTAATTGTATCAACACTAGAATAGTAACATTACCTTGCTTGGCTTAATTAGGAAGTTAATTAACACTGGAACTACCGACGTTTGATACACGATTATTTTAAAGGTTAAAACAACGTAGAAAATTAAATAGATAGAAGATGAAACATAATTTAATACGTACATCATTCTTTATCTCAACAATAGCCAATACATTTCAACAAAAATACCTCGATAAGATTTGTAATTAAAATAAGAAGCTTGAAACCAGTCGTGAGCAATCGAAACCTTCTCCTGAGTTTGATTTTAATATGGAATAAAATTTAATTTTATACCGATCTCAGCTTCAAAGAGTACGTATTAATTGCAATAATTTTATGGCCAAGCATATGAGGAAGTTCAGGAAACTTTTAGCAGTGAATTTATGAGAATGATGTTTACAAGCTTCTGGAAATCCAAGCACACTTGTAAGGCTAGCAAGCTCAAGTAGACTCAACGCGTTTCTTTTCGCTTGCAAGCAATAAATTTTCTTCGGCGTGCTTCTCCAACACGGTTACGTTTCAGTCATGTAAAGTTTCTAGTCGAGGAAGACACTGTAAAGTTTCGAACAGCTACTTGTTCCATGAAAAATTTGTTCCTCGGTTACTGGTTGTTTTTATTTGATGTTTGGAAGTCGAAATCTATTGGTTATTGGTTGTTGAAGCTCTAATATTGAAACGGTTTTAAAATAACATGTCGTAACAAATATTTACTGTCAAGTAAAAATTGTAAACTGTTAGAATCGAAATGAAAACAGCTATTCAGTAATTTTTAAAATAGAAACTTTGTCAGATACTTCAATTTTCTCTGCGTGCACGAATAAAAGAAATTGCAAACGACAAACGAGAATGACCGGTGAAATGTCATAACAAAACGTAACTAGTTATTATACGTCCAGGAAGGGCCAAGCAATTTTCATTATTTTTGAAATAGAAGAACTGGAGTCGTGTGTGAAAATGGTCGACGCATTTAAATGAAGCACCATCTCTGCTTGATGAAAACAAAGGTGGCAAGTTTGAAGTTTCTGTCTGACCAACTAGTGGATGTACTGGACGGATTTAAAGTTGCGAGAAAAAAATAAATGAAAGAGCAAACTGCTCAGTCATTAAGGGGATTACTCAGGGGAAGAATATGCCTTGAATTTGCACAAAAAGTCAGCTTGCGGCTGACACGAGAAACTCGGAAAGTTTCAGATTCCGGTGGGTCAGTTAAAGAACTTGTCGGTAACCGAATTAGTTCATTTTACTGTCTGTAAATGTAACGCTGTATTATACTAAATCATATGCTAAGATAATTACGTTGCTTCTTAAGAAAATTCGAAGGACTTCACTAAACACTCGTCGTATGTAAAATAAGGTAAAAGAATCTAATTCCAATGAATTCTAGATCAATAAAAGTACATAGACTTCAGTACTATAATCAGATAAAAAATTATCATTCATATTGCATGCAGAAAAATAAATATTTGGACGGTAGAATGCTGTACATAAGTAGGTAGTCATATAAGTAGTATGAGTAGGCGAATGGTCAGACATAAAGAATACAGGTAGCAAGACAAGCAAATGAATATGTTACGTAATTAGACAAGTAGTATATCCTATAAGAAGTTAAAGAAGTAGAATTGGTAGTCAGACAAGTAGGCAGAGATAGCCATCTGATCAGGGAAGTAGAATAAGTACATATATGGTCAGCCACGTCAGAGTAAGAACCGTACGTAATGGAATCGATATTTGTTACTGAATGATAAATACTTAAAAAAATAATTACTTTTCCCAAGAAATACACTGTCGTGATATATCCCAGCACTACAATGACGAGGAAAAACCATATGGCCCTTCTGGTCCAGAGCTTCGAAATTCCAAGTTTCTTTCCCTCGATAACAAAGTATTGCATACCTGCATTAAAATTTCAAATAATTATAATATTCATGGATCGTATGGTAATAAGGGAACACGAATGACTCGCAATAGAAAGATACGACCGCAATCAACATTAATTGGATAGTAAATAAAAAAGATAATAAAGTCGATGGTAACTGTGTTCGGTAATAATCTCATATTCGCAACGAGCAAACTCACCTAAAAGGCATACCGTTACCAAGCCCATCGTAACGACAGAAAGTAATGTGAAGATAAGCAAATCTGACTGTATGTTTCTACGATTCCTCGGATGGGTAATCCATATTCTCAACGATTCTGGCCTGAAGGTTCCCATAAAAGTGATCACTATGCAAGTCGAAAACAAGTTGAATTTTCATGCGTTGCTTTCGAAATGGAATCGAATATAATAAAATTGATAAATAAAGTTCTAGAATTGTGTTATACAATTAAGTAAGTAATATAATTTACTTACAATCTGTAACGAGGCGTTTCGATGACGTTGAAGTGATAACGACACAATTCACAATAGGAACGAGACGATTGATTCAACCATCTTTCTAAGCAAGCGAGATGCACATAAGCCAATGATCCTTTGCACCTGAAACGATTAATTATAAAAATAATAGTAACGAATCAATAACTATATTAAGAGCTGAAATTTCAATATTATCTTCAACGAAAATTTGCAACATAATAAGAATGAAAATGAAATTGATAAAATGAAGATTGATAGGAATTCAGTTCCCGTGTTATCCTTTTTTTTTTAAATTTCAATATTTTCTTCATTATCCGGGAACACTGATGGCACAAATACAATATGAAGCAATGAAGATTAATAGATAAAAGTCAGCTCAATATTTCCCGGAAGTATATCTTTCATGCATCCATTTAACAAATGAACGTCGAGGATAGATTGGTCTATTTTCGAAAACGATTTCATCGTCACGTTTCTCGTCGAATCGAAGATCGATTCAATCTTGCGTCTTACGAACGCGTCGAAATTCATGTTATAAAAGTGCTCGTGCATCACGAACCTGAGCCAGTTCGATCTTATTTCCTTCGGAGTATTCAGGCTCGTTATATTTCATAGTAACATTCGAATAAGGAGAAGTTCTGCAAGTTTGAAAATTACGAGGACAGACGAGATTTCTATTCGACTTCTTACGTCTTGCACACATTTTTCACGCCTCTGCATGTTTCTTTATTCCTTGAAAGGGTAACGGCTCGAGTAAAGTGCCTTTTAAATTATTCAAATACATTTGTAACCACGGAGTAAACAATAACGTTGTACATAAAATATGCATTAATTGTACTATTTTCAGAAAAAAGTGTATTTAGTTCACAGTTTCTTTACTGGTGTGCTCAAAAGGCACACTTTGAGTGCGTTGTCAAACATTGTCTACGCCAGAAACAAGTGGCTCGAGTACAAAAAAGGGTTAACACGATAACTGTCGTGGCGGCAGCTGTTAAAATTATGCCGTTTTGCAGTTAGTGAGTCGCATCGCATTCAAGTTTCTTAGACGTGTGTTTGCCTACTTCAGCAGGTTAAAACGTGGCTTTTAGCATGCTCGGAGACCGAACCAGAAACGTTGAGTAAGCTGAATCGTAGTAAAATCTGCAACATTTATACCTGCCGACTGTGTTCGGTTAGAATTTTCATAGAAAAATGCTGAGCAAGCAGTTTAACAAAAACAGTTTGTATTGCAATCGTCTGTAATGTCACAGAAATCTACGATAATTATTTTACTAATTAAAATGTTTACTGCTGCAGAGAAAATTGGCATTTGTTGCGAAGTGAGAAGCGTAAATTAAATTAATTAATTTGTCTCTTTTTATATATAATGTTTCGTTTCGTTGTTACTTTAAGTGCAACCGAATTTCCCGATAGAGCATAAAAATCTGAGAGATAAATCAATGTTCTAGTTCGTTTTTCTCGTATCGTTTGATTTCCGGTGGTTCGAATAGTGAAATCTCTACAACATTGTCCGGCGCGCAACGTTTCCCTCTTCACGCCTCGTCGCGCTTTTCAATACATAAGCAAAAGTTCGTTCTCGCCTCCTTCAATTATTCCGCTTCCCGGAAACTGAATTGCACCGAGTCCACTTTCTAAACATCCATCGCGTTTCATCAAGCCGGTTCGCTCTTCGCCATTTATTCGCGGGTTCGCTCGACTTCGTGCGAGGAAAATAATAGAAAAAGGTATTTTCCGCCCAAAAAACATCGCGATCCGACGACTCGAATGTTTCTGATTCGTTTTTCCACCATCCTTTGTGCACGAATATTATAAATTTTTTACTTTGTCCCGTCGCAGGGAAAATTTTTCGCCCGACTGTACAGACATCGATAGAAAAATAAAAAATTTGAAGTGGAAATTCAAATTTTCATCTACACCTATAAATTCTATTACTTGTGGAGCGTTACAGAAGCTTCTGTTATCGTCTTCTAATTTCTTTCCCTGAAATATTGCTAATAACTTATCAGAAATGTTTAAAACATGGAACGAACGCCGGTTAAAGTTCAATTGGTCCAAGTATCTCCAAAGAGCATAAACTATTACCGAGTTCATTTTCTCCGCCATTACAATTGATCAAACCGGGTCCAAGGAAGATTTTCTTGAAATTAATGGATAGCACGTGCCCGGTGTACGTCTGATCCAATTCTAATCTGTATGTAGCCAGGATCAAACGTAGTCAGCCCACGTGGAATCCATCGAAACCGAACTAATCACAATGATGAATTGCGTAACCGAACGCAATCGAGACACGTGTACGATGCGGTGAAGCTTAACCACACCGAGTGGTATCATTTTCTTTTTTTCCAATACAAATCATTCAACTAGTTTGTCATTTTAATGAAAAATTTCTACTTCAAATTTGTGATACTTTATGTCATAAAATTGCGTCCGGATGGTACTTAGAAAAATTATCAAAAATAAATAATATGATAGGATAAGTTCTACAACACTTCTGGAAGAAAAAAAATTGCATTTCTATAATCTTCTGTCGTATTCGACACCTTCCATTCGGCTTGGGTAGATTTATCCATAACAGACTACAGTGATGGGATTGCATCTGTTACCTCAGCAAGGATGTGTTGAAAATATTATAAAATAAGCTGCCAAGATTGAGCTTCCTATTTACTTGATTCTTTAGTTTTCTAATTATCTTGTTATTATCCATGACAGTTCATTCCTTTCTGAATCGGCACCCTTATCCCACAGTTACGCGAGTTCACGCCTTTTGACACCTTGTTAAATACGACGCTGTTCGTGATGGTTATAGCGTTGGATCGTGGAAGCCATAGAGAAAGAGGTGAAAAGAAATGGGTCACGCGATACGCGTGTCGTTTCGCGAGAATTCTCACGAGGATCTGGTGAATTAAGTTCGCGGATGGTGTAGAGGGAAAAGAGAAACGAGAACGTAGAAATAAACGCGAAAGAGGGGAAAAAAATATAACGGTAGTGGGGGGGGGGGGGTCGGTGTGAATGGCGTGGAAAAAGAGAAATAGGCAGATGGAAAAGAAAATCAGAGATTGCGAAGAAAGAAAGGTGAAAAATAAAAAGTCAGAGCACACCGGTGAAATTTTTATTCGCGCATTGAAATAACGCTGTGCCTCTTTTTCATTCACTTTTCGGCGGTACTGAAGCGAAACTAAAGTTATAGAACGCTAGGTCGAGCCCTTAATTAGATTTGGAACGGTTGTACACTCGTTGGAAAGGGATGATTCGCATTTGACACGTGAAAATGCCGAATTTAAATGCAGGTTGGATCCTGTTGAAACGATTTTCACGCAAGGATTGCGCGAATTCATTGAATAACTTTCAGGCTGCGTAAATGATTTATCGTTTTAATAGCTAGTGACCGAAAAAATACATTTTTTTTCATTTTTCAAGTGCACCATTTAGACTATACACTATTCTGTTTCAAAATTGAGGGGATTAACGCACCGCTTGCATAATTGCAAAGTCGTGTAGAGGATTGAATAGTTTTTGAAAAGTGTGCCAGCTGCACGGTTTAATAATTTCTTTCATAAAATTATTTATAAAATTATACGTGAAAAAGATATGAAAGGTAGAATGTTTTAAAGGAATTACTGTGTCACCTATGTTCTGGTATTCAAAATACTTGGAACGAAATTGAAGGCTTTAATTTTATAGTTAATAAGTGTCCAAATTATTATTAATATAATTTAAGATCTTTGAGAATATATAAAAAAATTCTTGACACCTCTCTTGGCTTTAGTACTTTTTTCCATATCATGGTTGCATCAATTCAAATTATTAGAAAAATGAGAGTACGGTTATTCAACAAACTTTCATTATATGATGCTTATCAAAAAATAATATGCAAAGAAGTTGAGATTCCATTACAAAAAATAAGAGTAAAGAATTATTTTACAAATTTAAAATTATTTTAAAAATGTATTTTTCTTAATTAAAATGGAAATTCAATATTTCATTATTTCTTCGTGGAACGAAAATATTTTGTTTAATTATCTTTTGAAGTAATAGGTTGGTGAAAATCTACTTTGTTAACTGCTATGCTGGAGCTTAACACAGTGATTCAAGATTAACATTTACACGAATCGTATTTGACCTGATTATTTCAATATCGCAATATGTACATTTATGTACGTTCATCGACAAACAAGCATATTTGACGTCGTTGCATTCGATAATTTATGAGTATAATTGTAAAACGATTTATTCGTACCAATAGCGATTGTTTCTGGCGTTCAAATATTTGTTATCTATTCTGCTTTTCCAAAACGAACAGCAATATTATAATACTATTGATTCGTGTATACATTTACAAATTGAATTAACTTATTTATATGAAGCACGTATGCAAAATATCCCTTCTGTTAAACATTCGTTACAAATTTTATAATATTTTTCAGAATATTAGAAGAGACTTGTTGAATGTAGATGATTTTCTTTGAACGTCTATACAAGCTCATCATCTTCAAAGTATTAAAAGGACGCGTAATCGGTTTACGTGATTACAGGATTTAATGTAGAATGAATTTTGCTTGGGTAAATTTTGTTGCATATAGAACTGACGGATAATTAGTGGGAAAAGACGAAATTTTCGAGCTATTAACGGGCAATTTTTACAAGCATTCCCGCAGTTCCGTCGTTAAAAGGCATTTAAAATGATTACAGTTCTTGCAAAATGCCTGGCATGCTTCGACTACTTTTTATCAAAGGTTTCTCACTAATTAGCGTCAATAAATTTTTATAAATAGCTTTTCATTTAATTTTACTCATGACATAAATTGTGTAGCAATTAAAACATTATTAATGAAATTATAATAATATAAATCATACTTAATTCAGAGTTTACATATTTTGAAGTCAATCATTATTTACTATAATTAATATCTAGCCACTTTATGTTACAAGTCTAATTGTAGTTATATTTGCTATTTCGTGTTAAGTTTATGTCATCAAATTATATGAAAACTTTGCAATGGTATTGAAATTAGAACCTCAAAAGCTTGAAAGATTAAACTTTTAATTCGTATTCATTCATTGATGCCCATTGGAATTTTTAAAAAATTTCACTTTCCATAAAATCGATAGTATCCGATTAAAATTCCTAAAATTCGGATTCAAATGTTATTTTCGCGACAGAATTACTTTTTGAGCGCTATTTGTCTGAAAACTGGAAGAGTATTAAACCATCAGGATTTTATTGCAATGAATTATCAAAATGAAAATTGACGATATTTCGGGAACAACTTTGAAAACGATCAATTGACGTATCATAAAAATGTAAATGCTTTTTATATTTAATCACTTTGCGATGAATGAACTCCGTTCGTTGATATAATTGCGCGACGGAAAATGTAATTTCTGCGAATTGTTGATAAATGACATTGTTGTGGATGTTATTGTCGATGAAATATTACCAATGAAATCTTCTTTATCGGTGACGTTCATGTATTCCTATTCCTGGATTCACATGGTAGGTATACGATATCAATTTACACGCTCGGAAAGCTTGTAAATCAAGAGGACAACGCTAAATGTGTCTGCTGCATACGCACCTTTTCTTCTCGACAATTCAGGCATATTTGTTTTTTATTCGAAAGGATGCTTGTCACATGAAAGCTCTATATGTGATTTGAAATCATACCAAACCTATATTACTGCATTCAATTTATTCCCTTTTTAATAATATATTTCACTCAACATTTTTCATTTATATCTCATTGTTCTATATTGAATAAGTAATTAAAAAGGAATAAATGTGTTTTCCTTTTACTCTTTGAAGCCAAAGTGTTAAAACAAAGGGTGGTAATGTGCCCCCTTCCCTCTCTCCAATTTTCTTTTTCTTTCTACACTTTGATTCGTAATTAAAATTTTTGCTTAAATGGAAAGGTGAAAAGGAAAAGAAATAATTTAACTGAAAATTATCATTGGGTTAATGATACAACCCTTTTCTCGAAGAAATTCCATAGATAAAATTAAATGAAAATTTAAAATAGTTTGAGTTAGTAAATGATACATTTACCTACAAGGTGATATGAGTGGCTCCTTGGAGGTGTTAGTGTGACAGATTCGGCAGACGCTGGAACCGACCGAGACCAGGCTGCGGGTAAGCTGTTCTTGTTGGCCGACCCCGAGAGGAATTTGCTGCGTGTCGCAGTCATTTAAATTGCAGGACGAACCCTCGGGAACGGTGACCGGCAGCATCGGGATGCTGTGTTCGTGATCCACGTTAACTGGAATCGAAGAGAAGGATACACACGGTTGCTGGTGCATATGTATGATCCAGCACGCTCTGTACACGCGTTTACTTACACCCTATTCGACGTAACGGTCGGTTTTCTCGGAAATTCCATGCCCCGAATATCGATTAATCGACCAACAAATTCGATATATTTCTTTTTATCAAAACGTTTCTTTCCAATCGTTTGAAATTCACTTTGTTTTATACAGTGGATGTAGAAAGCGTTCGCAGAGCGAACAATTTTAACTGTTGCGTCTTTGACGTAACATCAGTTCGTACGAAAATCGTACGAATATTTATGGAATTTCTTTTTGTTAATTTTGCAAAGAATTCAAGTACCTGAAGATTTTTTTCGTTTATTTGTAATATTTATTGGATACATGAATTCTGATACTATCTACATCTACCGTGAAATAATTTCGAATTGCTAGTTTGTAACACCCTCAGGTGCAAAGTTAAAAATAACAGGAAACAGAGAGAGGGTGGTGAACAGAATACGGTACACATGTATGTCCCACCACGTTCTGCACGCATCTGCGTGTATTTACAGCCTATTAGGCGTAATGGCAGGCTTTGTGGGAATTTACTCCCCAGAATTAATCAATGTGAAATCTGATATTGCCTCTTGAATTACAAGCAGGATGGTATCGTTCGAACTGTGGATGCCAAGTTTCGCAATGACGCTATGTTTTATTAGTACTTAGGTAGGTGTACAGTCTCAAAGCAGGGCTAAGTGTCGCTAATTATGTTATAATAATTTTATGATGTAGTGCTCTCTTCTAACTATTAAAGTCGTTTACCGTCTAATTAATATCTTGTGAAATTTCTGGTGAGAGAGAACAGAAAATAAATAGGATCTCATAAAACTTTGCAGAAACTGCTGCAAATCTTAGAAATATGCTTATTGTATTTGATATTAATTTTGCAATAATTTTGTGGTATTATATTCGTGTTTAGATATTTAATTTAATTGAAATGTAGGAACTGTATTAATTGATAAGGGTTTTAAGCAAAGTACCCGTACAGAAAATTACAGAAGCAGAAGTTTCGCCAAAAATAATGTAAAAGTAACTATAAAAAAGTTATAAGCCCGGTTGTTAATATCTGAAATTCAATTCAATTTTCATGCAAGTCTATTTGCACTGACTTCTCAGGAAATCTTGTTTCCTATCCTCTACTCCAGAAACTTGAATTCCTCATAAGCAGTAAAATTCTAAATTTTGAGTAAAAAAAATATTCGTGCACTGCTTTCATCAATTTAAATTTAAAAAGTCATTAGATGAAAGGGTAAAAATATATTACCATATTTTATTTCAGCAATCAAGTACCGAATTTCTTCTCGGTTATTTGAACTGAATAATTAATTTAAAATGTACTTACTTGCATCTCCATCGTGATAAACATTTGTCGGCGAAGGCATAACCAAACAACTCAACAGTTTCTCAAGGAATATAATGTAGGAATATTCAGAAGCCACTTGATACAGTAATTTCTATCGGATCTGGTTCTTATTTAATGCAGTACTTCCGCGTGCAAACGAAGCAAAAGAGAAAAAGGCGAGAAAACGGGAAAATAATGTCGATCTGAATAACCGATAAAACTGTCAGTTCATTTTAGTGAAACAGGATGTACGCCCTCTTTTTCAATTTGCAACTTTTCATCTCGATAAATGACGAACGAATAAACAAATTAAAGAGAAAGATGGGTTAAAAAATGATTCAGGAGATTTTAATTTGTCCAGAATCAATAAATGTTTGACCATTTTTTAGTTATTGATCGTTTCAGTATGATATGAATATATTTTATAATTATTATTCATTATCAAGATCATTTTATATGTTATTGTAAAGTAAATTGGTTCGGATTGGTTTGTATTACATATTTTAATTTCTAGTTGATCAGTAAAATGACATTGGAAATAATTAATTACAATTGTAAGTAGGTCGAAATAATTATTTCACTGAATAATAACCTGGTATTACAAAATTTGTATTCTATCAACGTTTTGGAATAAATTTGGTAAAATATTGAATTACAAAAATATTTCAAAACTTGTTGACTGTGAATATGTAATAGAATTTTTAAAATATTTATAGACTTTTCATGTTTAGAATTTTTTTAGATTCCTAATAAAGTAACCGAGTCATTAGTATATTTATTTATGTATTGTTTGCTTTCATTATATAAATTTTGTTTAATTTCTACCATGAAATATTAAACAGAATTTGCAATCACGTTTGAATTCTATGTTTCGTTAAATGTCAAACATTTCATTGATGTTCGAGAATAGAAAGAGCCTTTGACTGGTGGCGAGTAATTTTACACAGTTGCGATGAGATTAAAGGATTTCGTCGAAGAATTGTGTCAGGGAAGAAATCAATTTCCAATTACCCTTTTCACGAGTATCTATCATAAATCGAACGAAATTAATGCGCAGACCTGTGATCCCAAAGAGATAAATTGACCTAGCAGAAATTACATTTAATGAGTTATAAAAAAATCATAATTTTCGTCAATGACGTTAGCTACCCCTTTTTAATAATCACTAGTATGTAATTTTTTGGAACAATTTTACAAAACTTTCAGTGTAATTAAGCTTCCATTTCTGCAATTTAATTTTTGTCAATTATTCTTTTTGAAAGATCATAATTTTGTGATATAATACAATTTGATTTTGGTATTTTTCAATTAATATTTTTTGAGTTTGTTATGCTTTTTGTACGAAAGATGTTAGATTGCGAGCTGGATATAATTTGTTCAATATTTCTTTACAAAGTAGTGGTTGTTTTGACACGTAATCCCATTATACTGTGCACGAGAGGCTACAGATGTGTAATGCATGAAGAAAACTTCGAAATTGATGTATTGAGGTTCATTTTTCATGATTTTCGTCGGTAAACAGATCACCGATACGATACTGCTACAAGCATTTTACATTCTATGGAAGTAAATTTTACGATCTGTATAACGAATGTAATCAATTATGAATTACAAATTAAAATGAAGCGCTGAAATTTGATAAAGTGCAATTAGAAAATCGTCACGTGTATTAATAGTTAACATTAATTTTAACGTTATTAAATAATGCATATACAGAATGAAATGAAAATATTGCAAATTAAATTTTTCTCACAAATTTTATTCAGTTTTTTTATTGAAACATGAATTAAATAAAACACTGTATGTTAGAAGAATTTTAAAAAGTCATTAAAATTTATAATAGTTACTTTTTATTTTAAAATTCAAATGAGACAGGAAAATACAAAATCGATACTTGCTTCGTTCGCATATTGAAGAATAGCGGAAGAAATGTATCTTAAGATGATGCCCCGTTCGTAGGATTATGAAGATTAATTAACTGCAGAAACCGTGCTACCGTCGACGTCGGTAAATTGAATCTTCCAAGTCAGTCGGCTCTCTGATTTATGACGCTATCGCATCGAAGCTTTTTCACGGGAAATACCTGGATTTGCATTGCATTAAATGAAAAGGTCTATCGCTCATAAGCGATTGCAGCCACCTACTCTATGAAACCTTTGTGTCATAACGATCCTTTAAGTCGTCCAAGATTAAATTGCATTAGCATCTGTCAAAATTAACAAATACATTTTTTAATATCTTTTACTGTCCAATCACATTTTAAACTTTATATGACACGAGTGTTATTTTGAAATATTTTTATCACTTTCGTGTTCAAATATTCTCAAAAATAAAAAAATGACTCGTACAAATTCTTATCGGGTAGTATTCGGTTGTAGCCTGAATTTTATATTTCTTCATCGGGATTAAACAGAGCGCAGAGTTTTCTCGAGATGTAGTTTCTTGTTTCTCACCCCTGTGTCGGTCCATTTTGCGAACGAAAGAAACGAACAACGATTTTTCGACGATTTCCGTCTTCCTTCCGCGACAACGAACGATGCAGCGTTTCAGATTGAATTTACTCCGATTCTACTACCAGACGTAACGTTTCCCTCCTGAAATTTACCTTTCGTTGCTCGTATACGGGAAATTTTCTTTTCTCCAATCCACTGTCACGACGAGTCGCGAAACCGCCGAACTTTCCCGTCCTTGGGACGCCGTTCACGGATTTCCTCCCTCGAAATTTTCCACCCTTTACACTGTGACAGAAAAACAGAAACATTCCCTGTAGAAGATCTTCTCTGATGCTTGCGACATCGCTACTTTCCCCTCTTCGTATCGGATAAAAGACTGCCTTCTAAATCCTTGCTTCTGTGAATTGAAATGATTCAAGTATTGAGTGCTTGACATGGGGAAAATGGAGACAAGAGAATCCTTTCTTTATTTTCTTATGCGTGGTCTCTCCTGTAACCATCTTCATAAAATTTTCCATGAATTTTATTTTAAAAAATTGCTATATATCATGTTGGGATTTTTTAATTTTTATAAATGGAAAACGTTGAAAATTTAATAAATCTTTTCATCGGATTTAATATCAACGAAAAATTAAAATTATTCCAGAGAAAATTTATTACTTGCGTGAACCAAATTTTTACCAAATTATTTCGTTCATTAAGAGATACTTCAGTTAATTCATAGGTATAAGAGTAATTAACGTTTTGTGTGTATGATGTGAGGTAAATTTCTATCGCAAATTAACTTGCAATTCAGCTGTATATTTACTATATTTTTTGGTGTTGAAAAAACGAATGATAAAATACAAAATGGAAAAAGGGTACCAAGGAGTGACCTAAATCAGACTCTGGGTCTGATATTGGATTGCTCGCAAGTACTATGCATAAAAGGAATTTATATTAGCGCCGAGGAAAATGTGATGATCAGTGGTTCTCTACCAAATACTTTTATTCAAACCCTTATACAGAGTTTTGTAGCTAATGCAAGCAGTAACTTGACCTACTTAAGAAAGTGAATTGAAAATGTAGAATAAAATCTGTAATACTTTACAAAAAGCTATGATAGTATGTAAAATTACATAGAGCTATATCAAACTTGATAAAAAGCAAGAGTAAAATATTTTATTATTTATTTCTAAATTATACCTTGCATAGTATTGAAGATCATTATATTACACGTTTTCACAGTATTTTTTAATATTTTCCCTAAAATCTGATATTATTTTTAAACTCTGATTATGTTTTGATTAAATTCTGTAGAAAACCAGTGGTCAAATATTTTTCGTTGCTTCTTCAATTAAAAAATCCTGTATTTCATGGATTTCCATTAACCAATGAATCGTTCAACACAAAAGGGCGTTCCTTGGAAAATTGAAAACCAGTAGCAGCAAAATGTTGATATACTAGCAAGGGTCTATAAGTACACATAGAACCTATTGTGAATACCATAGATAGTTCAGTCCATTTCATCTCTACTGGCTTATCACTAAATATTGCTTGACTTACGCCACGGAAACTACGGTAGGTGCCCACAGCCATTTCATTGTTCGCGTTCTGTTCATTCTATGTTCATCGGCATTTACGATACCCCTTACTATTGTTATAGAAGATACTCGAGATTTGTCCTTTTCAAGGAAACGCCTGATTCGATTAGTACAATTAAATGGGGATCATAAATATACCGTGCGTAGCCATTTATTCATTTTCTATTTGCTGAGGTACAGAATTGACCCTTGAAAAATAAAAATTACTGAAGTATGATAGACCTTTTCTTATCAATTATGAGTTAATACCAGTGCAATGTTCTAAATAATACTATAGCGAAATCAGTATCATAAACTGGTCCATGCATCCTAGTCCTAATGCACCTCAGTTTTTTCCATTTCCGGGTACGAATACGATTCAAGCACCGAGACGATATTCAACGGTGCGCAAGAAATAAATTTATGAGTTTCGAGTGACATTTATGCGTTCGATAATGTGCTGGATGCAGTAATATCGTTTTGCTCAGGTTGCAATTTCACGCCGGTACGGTGACCGGCGACGGAAACATCCTACCGAAACATATCGTAGGCTATAATGTTCGAGGGGATCCTTCAGGGGACGAGAATCGAGGCTTGTAAGCTCCTTAAAGTCGATTTTGTAGTCGTTTGTCGTGGCTCGCAAAGGATCGGACCACTGAGAAAAAACCAGCCACCACTCTGCTATTCAACTGGCTTCTCCAAAGGATTCTTTGTAGACAAGGATCCTTATGCCCGCGACTATACAATATTTCAATATTCCTTGCTTTATCAGTAGATTCGCGTATCGTTTCTTCATAATTATCTCCATGTTTATTTGTTTTTCTATTGGAAGCTGGCGCTTGCATCGTTCAAAGCGTGCGTCTGACAGAGACTGCTTTGTGATCGATTCAAAAAATATCTCTCCTAGCTATTTTCAGATATTTCTTTTCGTTTTCGAATGAAACCAGAAGCAAACGTAACAGAAGTTTGCGCTCTCTAAAAGCGGTATCACTTCTAACAAATTTCGTCCGGAGATTATTTCTTTTTGGTAAATATTTTGTAAAAGTGTACATACCATTGTGTTACAATACTGAAAGTTTTTAAGAAATTGATTTGGAAGCAAAATATAATTTTTGAATGAGGAACATTTCATGGAATTATTAAACGATATGTCATCCCTCTTTAAAGAATTTTGAAAATTTTTGAATAGAATTCACGAATTCGATTGGGGATTCGGAATTTTCTCGATTTTGCAGCTGATGCAGATTAAAGAAACACAA